CTCCACCTCCATCTCCACCACCTCTTACTACTACAATTACTACTCCTCTTCCTCCCCTCCCTCCTCTTCTTCCTCCTCCTCCACCACCAGCACCACCAACCTTTCCTTCTTCCTCAACCTCCTCCTCCGCCTCCCCTCTGCCTCCTAACTCCCCTCTGCTGCCCCTACCCCCCCCCGCCCTTCCAAGTTGAAGGCAGCACAAGTGTGCGTCCCCACCCCACCCCCTCCCACAAAGGCCGCCTCGCGCTCAAGGAGTCCCCACGGAGAAGGGATGAGGGCGACCCCGAGGCCTTGTAACACAGGAGGTTGGCAGAATGCGGGCGAGGGGCAGGGAGACGAAGGGAAAAGAGAGAGAAGGGGGAGAGGGGGAAAGAGAGAAATTAGCGGAACGGAAGAAGGAAAGAAAGAACCTCAAGGAATTATGGGAAAAGACAGCAATTGAGGTAGACAGGTAAGAAAGGTGAAGAGTGAATGAATAAATAGATGTTACGAAATATATAGTAATTTACTGTAATTCAGGAAGCGAACTCCGGAAGAGGAAACCGGAACACAGAGGAAACGAAAGTTGTACAAATGGAAGAAAATGACGGATACTCAAGCTGCAGCAGCGGGCTTTGGCGAGAATTTAGGCTTTGAAGTATTTCCAACCGGCGGCTGTTGTCAACTTAGTAGTCATAGTGTTCGTGATAGATGGCAATTAGATCTCTCTTTTTATTTTTCTCTATTTATTACTTCACATTCACTGCCGTTGCATGTTGTGACAACAGTTATGTACTGGGGGCTTGGCCTAGCGGAAGGCTATGGCATTTTTGTCTCTATATGATTTTTAATATTACCGTCATCATTGTTTTAATATTATTAGTTTTTTATGATTATTGAAGTTGTGTTCACTGCTATTCAGATTCTCAGTCTCATAAGCTTGTATTTAATGCCGCACGTTTCCAGTGCCTACAGTGTAGCAGGAGAAAGAGCAAGCCAGCTGGCTCGGCGGCCGGGCGCTGCCCCTCCAACTGGTCGCCAGCGAGAGCTTGGCTTCCGTCGAGGCGTCTCTTACGCCTCGGGGAAAGAGTGCGAATGCACAGGCTTTGCAGGGTCTGTGCCGCGCCCGCCGAAGGCGTGGCACACGAGAGCGGGGCTTCGAGAACAGTATTCTGCGTTGCTGCGCGCTCGCTTGGTCGGCGAGGGCTTGTCGGAATTCTGGCCGATGTGTCGCCTTCTTTGCTTTAGTTAGGTTTTACGAAATATATGTATTTTGGTTTGAATGGGTGTCGGTTTAAGCATAACCGTTGTTTATATGAAGTGGCTAACACCAGATTTTATTTGCTATTGTGTAACAATCTTCTTAAGACTTTCCACATCAAAACATACATTTTAATCTTGAATACAGTATCTCAATGTCCAGACACACAACATGCATAGACTCAATTCCTACTTGCGAATTCGCACAAACAGGTTTGGTTTTAGGTTTTTGTCATATATTTTAGCGTCTATAATGCCCAAGAAAGCATTATACATTATATTGTGTGCTTTAAGTTTACCATTGAATTGTATATAATAACTCCCATTGAGATTATAAGAGATTTTTTTTAGGGACATTAAGAATTCTCCAGAAAGAAATCGGATTTACCCTTGGTAAAGCATTCTTATTTTTCTATTTAATTTTTACGTGCTTGTCTGAAGGCAGGGCATTGTCGCATCACATTTGTCCCGCATGTGTGGCGCTCGCAACCGCCTCGCACGCCCGCTCGCCCGGCCAGGTTGCCGTCGCGGTCCCCCGGGCTTATCTGTGGCTGGGCGGACCCGTAGCCCGGAACGGGTTTGGCATCCCAGGCTTTCTTTCCTCTATTGCTTCATATGCTATCCTTCCCTCTTCATCGCCTCCTCTCTCTCGTTGTATGGTTTCACACTCGGGAAACCGTCGAGAAATAGCCTGTCGATTGCATTTTTCTGCCTCCTGGGAGGCAGACGTGAGGCAGTTCCTCCAAACCCAGGAACCAGACCTGGCGGCGGCGGGGTTGGATTTACAAGAAATTCATAAATCTGATCTTTTTTTCCTTTTCTGTGCGTCAAACCGGCATTAGTTATCCTTACCTGCTGCAGACCGGGACAATTGGGGCTGTCGAAGACGCACTTTGAACAATTCTCTGAATGAGTCGTCGAGGGTTCTTTGGTGTCTCTGCAACACGTGACGCGAGTACTGGTTAAGTGCGGTTGCCATTAACATGTTCTGTGCACTTCTTTTCCAAACATAATATCTGCAATTTGTATTTGATCTTACATAAGTTATTGTACAAGGAAATATTAAATATTTTGGTATAGCTGGTCTTTTATTTACCTGTTTTTCTATATGTATGTATGCTTGTTATATGTACACTTGCACCGCCCACGCGCATTTAGCGCGCGCGCGCACAACACACACATACATATATATATATATATATATATATATATTATATATAATATATATATATTATATATATATATATGTGTGTGTGTGTGTGTGTGTGTATCGGTCAAAATGATCACAAGCATTCTACATAGGTGGCCTGAAAAGCGTACATTCTTCATTGCATAGTATGCCTTGCGTCTCTTGCTGATTATTCCACCGACGCTCCACTGCAACCTGTATCAGTCTTGCGGTGTGTGTGTGAGATTCTCGCACGGGGTCTTCCAGTCTATGGCATGTTGGCTTGGCAGACAGTCTGGCATTAAGGACTTCTACGCCATGCTCTTTGCCGCCAACAACCGAAGGGAGTCTCAATCACTTCTCGTAGTCTTCAGAGGCTTTCACTGGCAGAAATGAGCTTCAACACCATTCGTACGAAAATTTAGCAAAGGCACCGTACGTGGATTGAAAAGCATATTTGCAACCGTCACTACCAAGGCATACTTGGAAGTCCATACTAAGTGGACCAAGAATTTCTTGCATGCCGGTTTTAACGCAAATACCTCAGCATAGTAAATGATGACCCTCAATTGACGTGCCTCAAGCTGCAATTCAGAACATCAAAAGGCATTGGAATTAGCAAGCCTCCTTGAGGTATGTGCTATATTAGTAACCAGCGTTTGTGCCATGACAACGTGATTTTATTTTTATTTTTTATTTATTTATTTATCTTTCTAAATATGTCGCGGTACCAATGTTAATATATTGTTTAAGTAGAATTCCTCGGCTTGTAGTGTCAATTCAGACTTTCGATAAAGAAATTGTCTGTGGCTTGTTAGATAAGTGCTTCTCAACAGTTTGATGCTGCGTCCGGAGACCGAAAATAGTCTAGAAGACGAGCGGTCGAACGAGAAGCCCAAAATGGAGTGGGGGGGGGGGGGAGGTCATCGAAGAGGCTGGGCGTGGCAGAGTCGGCAAAAGAAAAGTATGGGATCCGTGAGATGACACGTGTTATAAATTGGAGAAGCACTGAGATGGCAACAGCAACGCAAAATGGTACATCAGATTTTGCTAATAGTCAAATTGTCTTATATCCTTCGAGGAAGCCTAAATCCCTCTTAAAATTCCAGTCCGATTATCTAAAAACATTCAGCTCGCCTCCAGAGGGCTATGAAACAACTATGGGCCTCTTGTTTTTCTCCTTACCTCAGCTAAAGAAGTTTGTTGGTTAATCCTTTGCAGATATTATTACCAACATTTTATACAATCATAGATCTTTGGTCTACGAGCGCTTCGTTTGCTCCGAGGAACTGCACAACGAAATTCCTAGTGTTCCCATCGGCTTTTAACAGGCTCGTTCATGTTGTTTCGTTGAGTCACGATCCACATCAGTTCGTAAGGGGAATGAAAGCCCAGTACTCCGTACTTTATTCTCCTGAGTAACTGCATTAACGGTAGCAAAGTCTGACGTATCACTTCCCGCACGGGAGAGCAGTCGGCAGGCGGTACTGAAACCTCGCGACTCGTGTCCGTAGATTTCGCACCAGTAATAGCTATAAATTCTTTTTTGTTTCCCTTATTTCAGTCGCCATGGATGGATTGGAATAGGAATCATACGCATGTTTTAGAAACGGCAGTCAGTATGTCTTATTTATATACTTTGCAATATTCATTTATAAGTTACAGTCATATGAAAAATGTACCATCACTAAAGGTATTATTTAGTTTAGATACACACACATATGTGTGATATATATACATATATATATATATATATATATATATATATATATATATATATACATACATACATACATACATACATACATTACACACACACATACACACACACACACACACATATATATATATATATATATATATATATATATATATATACATACATACATACATACATACATACATACATACATACATACATACATACATACATACATACATACATACATACATACATACATACATACATACATACATACATACATACATACATACACATGGATGGACGGATAGATGGATAGATATATATAGATATATATAGATATATCTAGATATATAGACACACACATATACATGTATGTATGTATAGATAGATAGACAGACAGACAGACAGATCCATATACATATATATAGATAGATAGATAGGTAGGTAGATATAGATATTATAGATAGATAGGAGATAGATAGATAGATATACATACATATATATATATATATATATATATATATATATATATATATATATATATGTGTGTGTGTGTGTGTGTGTGTGTGTGTGTGTGTGTATCTATCTATCTTTGGTAATTCTAACACTGGTGTGACCAAATATGGGAGCAACACAATAAGTAAATGATACGTACGCATATGACTCTTCGTCATGCACCAGCAAACTATCAAAAATAACAACCCATTCTGCTGATACATTCACATTCAACACACAACACATTCTGGCGGGGCTCTGGCGAGTGACCCCTCCACTCCTTCCACGCGCCTGCATCCTCAGAGAACCACTCCGACCACACCGACAACTACCCATCGGGAGAATAAACACACCACACCCGATGAAGTCAACTTATCTCAGCAAGAGTCAGCA